GTGTGTAAACTCTTCAACTTACCAATAGATCGTGGCAGGATGATTTCTTTATTACATTTTAACCCCAAATACCTCAAATGATGTAGGTTACCAACTTCACTTGACACATGCCACTTGACGCTCCTTTTAACAAGATTCAAGACCCTTAAAAATTTGAAATTATTGCATTTTGAGATGCTTAGTTTTATCAGTTTCTCGTCTTGAAAGAGTAAAAGGGAACGTAAGTTTAGATTTTTTCCCTTTAAACAAACATACCTTTTGCTAGGATGAATAGCAATTCTTCGTGACATGAATGCTGTCAAGTTCACATTAAGAGGATCATCATTGTTTTCATCAATTGGTGGTGGATGCATAATTTCCAAGAAATTCTCCTCTTGAGCTTTGACCACGCACAAGTCCCTCAAGAGATCATGTATACGACATGTTTTTACACTTGTTCCTGTGTAGTCCATCCTGCCAACTTGAACCAAACATCTATTTATCAGTTCTTCTAGGAATTGTTCAGCTACATCCTCCATCAACATTCCCCCGCTTTCTAATGACTGTGAAATGAAACCTTCAGCTATCCATAATCGAATGAGTTCCTTCTTCGAGATCTCCCAATCTTCTGGATAATGGCCAAGATATAACAAGCATGGTTTTAGGCAATAAGGCAATCATTGTAGCTTAAATCCAAAATTCAATTCACTGCACCATACTGATAGTCTTGTTGTTGGAACCCTTTTAAGTGTGCATGGATGTCTTGTGAACCATCTCCCACTGAGCCCGTGACTTTTTTGTCGCTAGCAAGCCTCCCAACACAACAATTGCCAGAGGTAGAGCTCCACATTTTCTCACCATCTCTCTTCCCAGCATCTCAAATTCTTTGGAGCCAGCATGAGATTCTGTCTCATTTCCTGGGAATGCTTTCCTGCTAAAAGGCTTCCAACTTTCATCATCTGTAAGAAGTGGAAGCTCTATTGGAGAGTTGCAAGGATCGGCAAGTAATGCAACATTTTTGTTGCGTGTTGTGAATAAAATTTTGCTTCCCCTTTTTCCTCGTGGAAAAGCAGGTTTAAGAATATTCCAATCCTCGCTTCTCCAGATATCATCAAGAACCACCAAGTACCGTTTTTCTTTCAATACATCAAAAAGACTTTTCATCAACTCATTCTCTTGCAGTTTATCAATTAGCTCCCTGTTTTTAGAAGGGTCAACTTTTACCAGGACATCATGCAAAACCTCTCTTGGCTTACATTGTTGAGATATAAACGCCCAAGCCAAACAATCAAAATGTCGTTTCACATTGATATGATTATATACTTTTTTGGCAAGAGTGGTTTTACCTATGCCCCCCATGCCGACTATGGAAACAACAACATGGGGTCCGTCTTCTTCTGTCATCAACTGGGCCAAAACATCCCTTCTTATATCCTCCAAGCTGACGATATCCTCTTCCTCAACATGTGAGTAGGTTCTTCTTAACCGCTGCTGCAGCATCGTGGTAGCAGAACCAGAACTCTCTCCTCTAGATATCTTATCATAAGCTGGAAGACTTTTGGAAATGTCTTCAAGCTTGGTTTGGATTGCTTTGATCTGTATCCCTGTTTTGTGCCGACGAGAAGGTTTGGTAAAAATGGAGGCGAATCCCATGATGAGTCCGTGAAAGCCTCCTTGATGTGCAACTTGAAGAATGAAGGAGTCTATAACATCTTCTGCTTCATAAGCAAGATCTCTGATTTGTCTCACCAAAGTGCGGCCAAGCTCAGTCTGCTCTTGCTTATAGTCTCTATCCTTCAAGACGCTATTCATCCGGTCTAGTTCAGCCCTTAGGCGCTCCACTTCGTCACGAACTCCACCCAGGTAAACTGCTTCATGAATGAGTAAATCCGAGATTCTTTTAATAGCTAAGGACACAGTGGCCTCTTCCATTTCTCCCGCTGATTGAAAACAGAGGCCAAATTGCTTTTCTTTTCCTAGGATTGCAATCTGTATCTGCAAAATATTCTTAATTTGTATGTATTTCCCTTTGTCAGATGTTGTGAGTATTTGTCTTTGCGGTGAGCCTGGTGACCATTTAACTTTGGACAGGAAAAAACAGATGGAGAATCAAAGAAAATCTGTTTTCTTTCATTTCCACTATACTTTTTGTTACTATATCAATTCAATAAATTATCATAACAGACTTTAGTCTTCAACTTTTCGGTGGCTAAATACCTAACCCTTAAAATATTATACCACCAAAGAACAATTATCGAAGACACAAAAGTAATTTAAAATATTAAACCACCAAAGAACAACTGATAAGATCCAAAAAAGAAAGACCGTTAATGAATTTTAACCGTGTTATTTTGCTTTTAAAAGGTCCCGTAGGATTCTACCATTACACTTTGCTCGATTAGTCAACATCTTGATCTTTAAGTTAAAATTTGTTGATAGTTACTTTAATTGATTCAACGCTTAATTAATATCATACAACTCAACTAATTACGTCTATCCAAATTTAGTCATAGATAATCATTCTAACCATTACATGCTTTTTTTATCTTCTCTCACCTAGTCTTGTATGTTATTGATTTAATTGTTAAAATATGTTTCCAATTCTACCTTTGACACTCTCTTAATCGATTTCTTTGTGATATATCACTCTAATTACCAAATCAATCACCCAAGCAGCCTTTTAATATACTTCCAACACCCAACTGAAACACACATCAACAAATTCGATAAAGAATATAGAATCTTAGCAGGGATGGATGTACATAGTAGTGATGGGGCAGCTGCCCCAGAATATTTTAGAATATTTCCATTTATTTAAAGTTTCATGCTTTGAATTTTATTATCTTTTTCTTAATTATGTTGCTTTTTTCAGTAAATATCTCAAATTTTTAATAGACTTATACATTGTTTGTCAAAATATTTTTAAATATTTTATAAATAAGAAAAACAAACTTTATTGAAGGTGATTAAAAAAACTGATCTGCATGGATTAATTGGATCGGTTGATTTTTCCTTAAAAGCTACTTTCCTGGCCCATTTTGTTGATAAACAGCCCGTCAAACTCTATATTAAACCAAAAAAAAACGACCAAGTGGCCCATTATTAGCCCAAACCATCTGAACCTCGCTGGAAAAACAAAAGGCAACCAACTCCTGGAACTCAGCCCTCTCAAAAGGCTTGTGCCAGGATAGAGAGAAAGCCCCCGGTAGTGTACAGTTCAGTCATGCATTTCCTTCGCTCGTCAACGTTGCTTCCAAATTACGGAAAAACGCATCGTTTTGCTCCTTCCCTGTTCTTTAAAAAATCACTCTGTTAATTTCTCAGTTCGGTCTCTTATTTAAAATGGAGGAATCATCTTATTCAAATCTTGCTACCAGTCATTTACTCGGCTCAGTACCCGTAAGCTGCTTAATATACTTTTTCCTGTATTTTTTTTTTTCAGTTAATTTATAGCATTTTATTTCATTTTTATTGAATCAAATTATCAAGATCGACGTTGTTAATGTGAATTAATTTCAAATTTCATTCGAATCTTAGGCTATTGTCAATGAAGAAAAGAAGGCCTCGTATGAAGCTACTATTCCTTTTATTTTCAGTATTTCGAAAAGTAAGTTTGTTTACAGTAATTGCGAATTTGTTGAAGGCTTTTTTCAAAGTTAAATCACAAATTTATGATAGTATGCTGTTTATTAATAGTTTGGATTGTTTACTTTAGCAATTGAAACTAATTTTCATAGAATTTATCGCGAAAATTTGGATTCTTGGCGAACTTGACTGTTTCAGGACAATTAGGTTGTTTAGTTGGTTTATGTTTCTTAGTACAGATACTAATTTCTTTCTATTTTTTGGCTTGATGATTTTTTTTCTATGAATTATCTTCTAATGCGTTGGATAAAGCAATGCATGGCTCTTTTCATTTGTGTTTAAGCACATTTAAGCACATATTCCAGACTGAAGGCATTCGAGATTTGCATAGAGGGATATTGCCTGAATATTACAAAGTGGTGCCAGGTGTTGGTATTGGTTTCATGACCTATGAAATACTGAATATGCTTTTCTTAGATATTACCACAAAATAATAGTTCATGATCGTATCTCCGCAGATGTTTGATCTGCAAGTGAAATGATGGGTTCGCTAATTTGGTTATGTGATAGCACAACACATTTAACTTTCATAGTTCTTGCAGTGGCAAATTTTGTGATCCTGCTGTGAGAAATATATTTTTCCATGTAAATAGATGGAGGGTGACTTACATTCTGATACCAATTGTGATCATCTTTGAATACCCGTTTCCCAGGTACAAGTTTTTACGTAATTGCTGCTTAAATCACTAGCATGCATCGATGCATTTATAACTTCAAATTTTACTAGAAGTTTACCTTCTCTTACAGAAGAGACTTGATTCATTTTGAGTACTTGTCTTTTGTAATTTTATTATCAGTGATTTTTGAATTGCTGTTGCTACTTTGGTCTCTGCACTCAGGATTGGGTTGCAAACTGTTCAGGATTACATCTGCGCTGGCCTTACTTTTTTTTTTTAGTTTCTTTTAATTATTTATTGATGCACAAAATTGTAGTATAGCAGCATTCAATCTCATTGGACTGATTGTATTAACAAATTAAAATTGCATCAGTAAATGCGATATTTCATGTTTTCTTAACTTCAGCATTGAATTTGATGCTTACTTTCTGACAAATCTCATTGCAAACTTGGTAAATTTTTTCTTTCTGACATCCTTCATTATTTTGCTTGAAGAATTGTGAACAAAATAAGTATGCAACTTAAATACAGCTTGGATTTTGCTATTATTGCTAGTTTCTCAACAAATTTCTTTTCCAGGCAAGTTCAGAAGAATTTCTGCTACAGATCTTTCTGTTATCGAGCACGAAAATTTTCAATCAATCAAGAATTACTTTTACCCTCCTTCTGTTCTAACTTATCAGTCTACAAACAGTGATGTTTATTAGTGAAGATAAACAGTCAAACAAATTCAGTAAAATAAGAAAAAAGTCTTTAAAAAGAAATAAAATTTAGAAAATAAAACTATCAGTAGCTTGCCATCAACACATGGATAATCTTCGTACACTCCACATTTAAAATCAATAAACAGCCAGTTCATTAAAGCTCATAACAATTCATTTCCTAAAAGCACTTGATCCTCAGAATCAACTATCAAGGAAAAAAGGAACAAATCACACTTTGAAACAATCAAAAAGCAAACCGAAGTGATCCCAGCCTCTTCTTGCTCTTATTGGCACAATAGCTTTTCATGATCAAATAAAGCATCCAACTCCGCCTTGTATCGGTGCCTATCTTATTGTACCTACACCAAGATGAAAATGGCGCATATCATCATATCTTATGGAAAGGAAATGATATATTTGAATATTTATAGTTCCAAATAGAAAACAAAAGAGATTATTATTTTATAAAAAGCAAATAACTCACCTGCAAAATTAGAATTTTAAGTCATTCCTTTGTGTGAGATATTTGGATGGAGGGTATGTGGTTGACTTTAAAGAAATCCTCTCCTTCCCTCCCATCTATCACTTGAATCCTTTCTACCAATGACCTTTTCATCAAATCTAATTTCATTTTCTGGAGAGCAGTAATATACCTCAACCCTTCTGGAAACATCCTCAAATTATTTAAACCAACCAAAGATAAACTCCGGAGACGTGGCATTACGCCTTCTTCTATGTCCCACTCTTCTAATTTTGATAAAAATTCAATTTCAAGAGAATCAAGCTGAAGAAACCCATTGGCAGAGCAAATCAGTTTAGTCCCCCTGTATGAATTCCACCATAAGCGGAGAGTCCTTAAATGAGGCAGCTTTTCCAATACAGCCATTGGATCCTGCTTCAACTCAGATCTCTCCAAAGTTAACTTGGCAATGTTTGCTGGAAGAAATTTCAAAACATGAACCTCAATTGCGGATCTTCTTCTATCCTCCCTTCTAAGAATAGTTTGGAGAGATTATGAAACTGAGAAAGGGGTTCCAAGTTTGGAAATGATTGGCTTGAATCCGCCCTAGGAAACCTCATGTCCAATGACCGAAGGCGGTGTGATTCGACCAGTGCTTTTAGGATAGGCTCAACATCTTTTGATCTCCTAAAATATATTCCTAAACTCTGAATATTAGCCAAGCCCAACACTGCATTATTTTCAATTAAATTCTCAACCCAAATGTACTTTAAAGTTTCAATATTTTTTGAAGTAATCCTTAGCGGCATCCACAAATTAGATAATAAAATATGCCTTAAACGTTCCATATTGAGTAGAACTTTAGGATTTATTGTTAATCCATTACTTTGGACATACAAAGTGTGCAAACTTTTCAACTTCTCAATAGATCGTGGGAAGATGATTCTTCCCTCACATTTTAACCCCAAATATCTCAAATGATGTAGATTACCAATTACACTTGATACATACCACTGGATTTTCTTCCTTTCCACAACTTTCAAGACTCTTAAATTTTTGAAGTTTTTGCAATTTGAAATGTTCAATTCTATCAATTTCTCATTTTTAAAGAGCAACAATGAACATAATTTTGGATGTTCTCCCTTCAAAGAAACATACCTTTTGGAAGGATGAATAGCAATTCTTCGTGGCATAGATGCCGATAAGGTCACATCAACTGGCTGAATTGGCTGAATAATTTTCAAGAAATTCTCCTCTCGAGCTTTCTCCACGCACAAGTCCCTCAAGAGATCATGTATGTGACATGTTTTCACACCTACTCCTATACGATCCCTCTTGCCAACTTGAACCAAACATCTATTTATCAGCTCTTCCAGGAATTGTTCAGCAACATCTTCCATCAACATTCCTCCGCTTTCCATTGATGGTGAAATGAAACCTTCAGCAATCCATAATCGAATGAGTTCCTTTTTTGAAATCTCCAAATCTTCTGGATAATGACCAAGATATAAGAAGCATGGTTTTAAATAATAAGGCAAATCATTGTAGCTTAAAACCAAAATTCCATTCACAGCACCATACTGATGGTCTTGATGTTGGACCTTGTTTAAGTGTGCACGCATGTTTCTTTGAACCATCTCCCACTGAGCCCATGATTTTTTAGTTGCTAGCAATCCTCCCAGCGCAACAATTGCCAGAGGTAGCCCTCCACATTTTTTCACCATTTCTCTTCCTAGCATCTCAAATTCTCTTGAACGAGCATCGGACTTAGTTGTATTTCCAGGAAATGCTTTCCTCTTGAAAAGCTCCCAACTTTCATCATCAGTAAGAAGTGGAAGCTCTATCGGGCAGCTACAAGGATCCGTATGTAATGCCACATCCTTTTTCCGTGATGTGAATAAAATTTTACTACCCTTTTTTCCTCGTGGAAAAGCAGGTTTAAGATAATCCCAATCTTCACTTCTCCATATATCATCAAGGACTACCAAATACCGTTTTTCTCTCAAGACAACAAAAAGTCTTTTTATCAATTCATTCTCCCTCAATTTATCAATTAGCTCTCTTTCTTCTTTAGAAGGAGAAAGAACTTTTATGAGGACATCAAGCAAAACTTCTCTTGGCATAAATTTTGGAGAAACAAAAGCCCAAGCAAAACAATCAAAATGTCGTCTCACATCGATGTGATTGTATACTTTTTTTGCAAGAGTGCTTTTACCTATGCCCCCCATTCCGACTATGGAAACAACGACATGAAGTCTATCTTCTTCTTCTTCTTCTGTCATTAACTGAGCCAAAACATTCCTTGTCATGCCCTCCAAGCCAACAACCATCACTTCCTCAACATGCGAATATGTTCTTCTTAACCGCTGCTGCTGCTGCATTCTGGAAATAGAGCTAGCCTCCTCTCGTTCACCAGATATCTCATAAGCCGGAAGACTCTTGGAAATAGCTTCAAGCTTTGTCTGGACTGCTTTGACCTGCACCCCTATTTTGTGCAAATGAGAAGGCTTGGTGAAAGTGGAGGTGAATCTCTTGATGATTCCATGAAAGCCTCCTTGATGTGCAATTTCAAGAATGTAGGAGTCAATAACATCTTCAGCATCGTAAGCAAGATCTCTAATTTCCCCCACTCGGTTGCGGAGACGCTCGTCTTGTTCTTGCCTATGGTCAGCGACTTTCAAAAAGCTCTGCATCCGCTTTAGTTCCGCCTTCAGGCACTCCACTTCCTCACGAATTCCAACCAGGTAAACTGCTTCTTGAATGAGTAAATCCGAGATCCTTCCAATGGCTAAGGACACAACAGCCTCTTCCATTTCTCCTGCTGATCGAAAACAGAGGCCAAAGTACTCTTCTTTCTCTAGGACTTCAAAGTGAATGGCGGTTCCATAGTGTGCGCAAAATAAAAAATTTTGGTCTCATATAATGTTTAAGCAACTCATTTTCCTGCACGAACAGACGCTATAAAAATATTAGATGAACTGTCTTTTGGATTATTTCATTACAACACACCAACTACTTAATAATTGGATGAAATGGGAAACAAAACACATCTAATTGTCTCTTTCAAAATGAAATTCCAATGTTTTAGTGTTGAAACAAAAAAAAAAAAACTTTAATTTAATTCTTCAAATAAAAACAAGTATATTTAATATTTGTATAGGTGCTTGTTTGTCATAAGCTAGGACTTTCCTGTCATTTGGTTTTTAAGGCTCTTTTCCTGGTTAACTTCTTTCTCCAGATATTTTTCAAGTAGTGTGGGAAACTCCCACTTCTTTAAAAAAATCAATAATACTTGGCCGACGAAGCTGACATGAATTTGTCATCTTTTGTTTGTCAAACCGACCATTATGAAACGGGGCAGCTTATATGAAACTTCTTCAGAGTTCAACAGAGAGGTAAAAAATGAGATTAAAATTAAAAAAAATTAAAAGCCTTCACCCAATTCCTTTTAATTACCATGTTATTATCATTAGTAACAACTAATAAGCCTTGATGTTTAGTAGTGATTATATCGGTCAAATAATTAAATTTTTATGGACTATCTGATAATTTCAAAATTTTAAACCTTTTATCAAAATACTATTTCTTTATCCAAAACTTGTCTTCATTATGGCCTAAAGGGAAAAAAAAATCTCTTTTAATCATAGACCTTTTATCAAAAAGGAGACGAACCATTATTAAATATTTTTTATTGTGTTACTATGTTTTAAGAAGATTCGATCAGGAAGAACTAAGTGAATGTAGGAATATCTCGCTTTCTTTTAATCTCCAAGAAATTAATATTTATGGATATTTGCAGCCTGGCCAATCCATGACTATTATGCATTTTCCATGAAACATGATCACTGACTATAGAAAAGTAAAGGGAAAAAACATTTTAAAGTTGAAATGAAGTTGACAGGCTAACTACTATAGATCTTCCAGTTCCATGGAGAATTTGCCTCGTCTTTTCTTGTTTTATTTGCATTGGACACGGTCATGGGCAGACTATATAAAAGTTAAAAAGAAAAAAAAAAAAAACAACATTTTAATGTTGAATAGTTACCATGCATACTAATAGAGCAACTTCCAAGTAATTTACTGACAACAAATAGAAGACCAAACCAATTATGTTTCTATTTTTCGTGCAAAAAAAAACGCGATAATATCTGGGCGACATTGAAGATAAAATGAGTTTGTCATCTTTTGTTTGTCAGACCAATCAGTAGGGAATCAGAGGAAATTTGGAAGCAATTACACGAAACATCTTCAGAGTTCAACAACGAGTAAATCTGTCCGCAATTTTTTATTTGAACTATCAAATCTTAAATATTTAACAATGAAAACCAAATAATATCTTTTCTTTCCTTTTTTTTTTTTATTGATTTTGTCATATCCAACCAAGATAATTTTTGAATAGACGCTCTTGCTTGTAGTCTGCATCCTTAAGCTATTCATCCGTTCTAGTTCAGCCTTTTGGCGCTCCACTTTCTCACGGACTCCACCCTGCCAGTAAATTGCTTCATGAATGAGTAAATCCGAGATCCTTTCAATAGCTAATTAAGGACACAATAGCCTCCGCCACTTCTCCTTTTGGTCGAAAACGGTGTCCAAATTACTCTCCTTTTCTAGGATTGCAAACGGATCCGCCTGTATGTATGACACCGGAGTGTCTGCACTACATACAACTTGAGCTGAGAATAGAGTATACTTATTCAAAAATAAGATGAGCCTATCCTTAGTCCAAATAAAAAAATGAAGAAATAAGGTGAGCTGAAGCAGGGAGATTGCATTTACACTAGCTGGAAAAGAAGAGCATAAATATGGATTGGATTGTGGTTAAGTTCATTATCATGTAATCTGCAGGAGTAAATGGCAAATTATGTTCACATGCAAATTCCATGATTTTAGGCATGATTCAAGCAATGCAATTTGAAAGTTTTCGTACTTAGTGGGATGTTCCTAGCCTATATATTTTCTGTTATTCTTTGGTAAAAGACAGATTAGAGTTGTTTTTATACTTAAGAAATATTTTAGATTGTTCTTCAAGTTCTGTATATCTTAGCTGGGTTTCCTAAAGTGGTGAACTTCTATTGTTCTATATCCTTGATTAGAATTCTTAGGGTGCTGTTTTTGTATCCCTTAGTTTTTAGTCTTGGTGGTGAACTTTTATCCTTTTTAATCTAATAATCATATTATGCTGTTATTCAAATTCTTGTGAGTTGTCTTCTTTGTGAGTTTTTTTTTCGATTTGCAGTTAATCTCCATATCACAAATATCAATTCTAGCATTAAATTGGTATTAGAGCTATAGCAGGTCCGTTGTCAAGCACCAGCAAAAGAGGTTGAAACCAATACTGACGTTACAGCAACTACCAATGTTGATCCAAGGGATGCCTTCATAGAGGAGATGCGACAATAGATCCGTCAACTACAACGTGGGTTGCATATACAAGAAGAGAGAGAAGAGATAAGGAGGCAACAAATGAGGAGCGAAGAATGTGAAAGAGAAACCAGTCCATACCATGGAAACAATAGTGATTCTGATGATAGCACTCTATCTCACTCACGGCAAGTTAGAGACTATTTACGCAGAAATTAACTTCATTTTAGCATATTCAATCTGAAGATAAAAATTCTTGAGTTCGAGGGCAAGATGCAACTTGAAGAATTTTTAGATTGTCTGCACACAGTGGAACGCATATTTGAATACCATGATGTCCTTGAATATCACAAGGTGAAGCTAGTGGCTATCAAATTCAAAAAACATGCATCCTTTCGGTGGAAAAATCTGAAGAAGCAAAGGGAAAGATAAGGCAAGAGAAAAATTACAACTTGGAAAAAGATGAAAAGAGAGTTGAAAAGAAAGTATCTCTCAAACAACTTTCAACAAAATATCTTCCTTAGGCTCTATAACTTGAAGCAAATAGATCTTTTGGTGAAAAAAATACATTAACGTGGAAAGCATGTTCAAGACCAGTGTTTCTACCAAACCCTCTTCAAATCTACCCTTAAAGAAGGAATGAGCCATTTCCATCAAACCACAATCTAGTACTATCAACACTTAAACCCCAAAGAGACTTTATGAGCCAAAAAGTTAGGCATATATGAAGATCTTGAAGATGTTGAAGTAAAACCTATTGAAGTACCGTAGGATCTTGAACAAGGTGTTAAGGAGACCTATGGTGATCTTGAATCTTCACTTGTTATACAATACAACATGAGTAATGTGCATGTAAAGGAGGAAGACTAGTTGCACAAGAATAAATTCAATGCTTAAAACACTGATCATGATAAGGCATGAGATGTTATGATTGATAGTGAAAGTTTTGAAAACATTGTTTCTATTTTTATGGTGCAAAAATTAGGCTTCAAGGTAGTGGATCATCATAAACTATATAAGCTATCTTGGCTGCAAAAAGAGAATGAAATCAAATTTAGCAAGAGGAGTTTGGTTCCTTTTTCCATAGGAAAGAATATCAAGTAGTGGGATCTTATTTTAGCTCAAATAGAGTTTGCCTACAACGGCTCGCCAAACCAAACCATTGGTTGCAATCCTTTTGAGGTGTATATGAAGAAATGGCTAAGGGTATCAAACGATCGCATGAATAAGTTAGAATTGAAATTTTGTAGAAAAATAAGAAATATAAAAAGGCAATAATCATGCATCGAAGACATGTGAAGTTCAAAAAAGGTAATTTGGTATGGATTAACTTGTAGAAAGAGAGATTTTCTCCATGGAAGTTTGGCAAATTACAACCTAAGATAAATGGTTCTTTTAGAGTTCTCCAACATATTGGGGAGAATGCCTACAAAATAGAGCTTCCCGACACTTATGGAGTATCTTCCATCTTCAATGTTGCTGATTTGTCATCCCACCACGGAGAGAATGTTAGTTTAGACTTGAGGATAAGTTTTTTCCAATCAGAGTAAATTGACACCGGAGTGTCTGCACAACATACAACTTGGCTAAAACTAAGACAAACTTATTCAAAAATAAGATGGGCTTATCCTTGGTCCAAATCCACTAAATAAATGAAGAAATAAGGTGGGTTGAAGTAAGGAGATTGCGTTCACACTAATTGTAAAAGAAGAGCATGAATATGGATGTGATTGTGGTCAGATTCATTATCTTGTAATCTGTAGGAGTAAATGAGCAGATTATGTTCACATGCAAATCTCATGATTTTAGCCATAATTTTAGCAATGCAATCTGAAACTTTCCATGCTTAGTGGGATATTCTTGGCCCATATATTTTCTGTTATTCTTTGGTAAAAGGGCAGACTAGAGTTTTTTTTATACTCAAGCAATATTTTAGATTGTTCTTCAAGTTCTATATCTCTTAGGTGAATTTTTTAGAGTGGTAAACTTCTATTATTCTATATCCTTGATTAAAATTTTTAAGTGGTGTTTTTGTATCCATTAGTTTCTAATCTTGGTGATGAACTTTTATCCTTTTTAATCCAATAATCATATTTTGCCGTTATTCAAATTCTTGTAAGTTGTTTTCTTTGTGAGTTTTTTTTTTTTTTTTTGTTTGTAGTTAATCTCCATATCACAAGTATCAATTTCCGGCATCAATGTATGCAAAATATTTTGAATTTCTATGAATTATATTAGCTGAGTACCTATCTATGTTCCTTTGTGGTGGCTATTTAACGTTGGACAAGAGAAAGAAAGAAAAAATTCTTACCCCTACTTTTCCTTGATTTTGTCATATACAGGGAAAAAGAAGTCAGCTGCTGTCGATGACTTGATATCCAACCCTCCAAATTTAATTGTAGTAACTGCAAAGCACAATTATTGAAGACCCAAAAATCATTGGTGATAAAAACTCTTAAAAAACTAAAAAAAAAAAAGGCTATAAAATTATTAACAATACTATGCAAAATTATTAAGAAATATTTACCCTTATGCATTTTGCATTAAACATAGTCACTGACTATATAAAAGTAAAGAGAAGATAAATTATTTTAAAGTTGACTTCGTAGTT